AACAGTCATTGCAATTACGTTTATGTGATAGTTTAAACTTATAAGATTCAACAATTTCAGGTTTTGACCATTCAAATCAATTTAAAAATAGCTAAAATAAAAAATGAAAGTTAACAAAAAAATAATTTTAAAAATACAATTGCATCTAAGCATACAAACACACATCTCTATTCCAAACTCAAACCTAATCATTGTATGAAAAAATGACCAGAATGAAACAAAAGAAGTTTCGTTCGATGCCTCTCTAGCGGGCCGTTCCATGCAATTGAAGGTATATTTGTGTTTGTTTGGTTGTCTGTTTGTTTGTTTGTGTGCCTCTTCTTTTGTTTGTCCGTTTGATTGTCTGTTTGTCTGTTTTTCTGACTGTGTCTCTGTTTTTGTTAAATTGTTTATTAGTGTGCTTGTCCGTGTGAAAAACTCAGAAAATTTTAAATGAACAATTATAAAATAGCTCTATAGTGGGTGTTTCGGTATTTCAATTTTTCACGTACATTACATACATACATACATATACATGCAAATGGTTTCAATTTACAAATACATGCATAATTTAAGTTTCCACTTCAAGTAATCTACGTAATTCTCAAGTGCGCACTCGCTCTCACATGCAGGTGCAGCCTGAAATGAAAAAGATGGGCAGGTCAGTGCGGCTGCAGAATAAATCGCATTAAAAGCCATCATGCCAGAATATTTAAACTTTATTTCAAATTTTAAAATACGAAAATTGTTGAAGTCATAAACACGAGCATCTATCTGCAAACACATACTATCACATCTACCATTACATCTAGCTAAATAAATAAATAACCGTTTATCCAAGAAACACAATTGAGCATTAAACCAGACAGGCAGACAGATAGACGGACAAACGAACCAACACACAAAAAACACATACAAGCCCACACACATACAAATAAAAACATACAAAAATACACGTACAAATATAAGCGTATAATCATACAGAGCAACACGGACACAGACACATGCACGTATTTTTCAAATTCCACAAACAGATCAACAAATCGATGCAAGTACCCACTGAATATTGACGAATAATAGGTTCAGCAAAAAGTTTAATATCTCCTTCATGCTTCCTCATGCATGCCTGCACACACACGTACACCAACAAAATAACACAAATGTTGAAGATTTGTTGAAGCAACAAACAACAAACAAACGAACGAACAACAACAACATCTAAAATAACAACATCAACGACAACATCAACAACTTGATAACAAACAAATAGACAAGTATTTATTTTTGCGATAGAAAGTAAATCAAAATACAATATCCAAAAGAAAAAATGTTATCTGCTTTTTCATCAAAAGATACTTAGTTTCTTCTTATTTGACTGCTTTTCGCTTATTTTTCGGCGTTTATACTCTGATGGTGATGAAGATACAACTTTTTTTTTTCTTTTTGGCAAAGTGTATTTTAAATGCAGAATTAAAAGAAATTATTAAGAATGCCTCAGAGAGATCTTAATTTTAAGCTTCTGAGGCTGTTTATAAACAAGTGTTGCTTGGTTACTAGGATAAAATATAACAGCGATCGTAAAAGTTTTATCTCATTTTATTTTAGTTTTGAGTATGTATAAGTCTGATTGTATTTGAGAAGATAATCACTATAGTTGATATTATGGTTTTAATTTTGGCTAATTTTACAATTTTTTCTAGCAAAACATTTTTATTAGTATCAGAAAAACAAATTATTTTCTTTATTATTGTTGTTGATCTGAATGTGTTTCTGTTGTTGTTATGCAGTCAAAGAATTGTGGAGTCTCATGAGAATTTCATTCGGAATGTTTTGTTGCTTAGTTTGTTTTGTTGTGTGGTGCTGTTTGTTTTGTTGTGTGGTGTGGTGTGCTGTGATATGATTGATGTGGTGCGATGTAGTGTGGTATGGTATGTGGTGTGGTTTGTGTGGTAGGTTAGGGTTAGTGGTGCGGTGGGTTGTGATGTTTTCTTGATTGGTTTTGTGTGTGTGTATTTTGTTGAAAACTGTCTGTTACAACTCTTCATGTTTTTTTTCATTATATTTTCTAGTCAAATTTATTTAATTGAATTTGTTTTGTATGTTGTTTGGTAACATGTTTTTCCTCCATTCATCTTTTTTAGCATGAGGAATATTTCTGAATCAAAAACATCAGCTGAACAGAACAGTTTTATTTTTGCTTTTTTAAATCAAATTGATTTATGACAATAAAAAAATAAATTTATAATAATAACAATACTATTCTATAATAATACTGAAAACAACGAAACAACAAAAATAATTATAATAATTTTTATTACGACGGCATTAATAGCAAGGGTAACGTTAAAAATATAGAATAAATATTGTTCTTACCGTGAGTGTATATGTCGTTGTCCGTGAACAATTCACTCATGCCATTCATCAGATCTGAAACAATATAACAAATTCATAATAATAATGATAATAAAATTACGTCATCATTATTGACATTATTATTAATATTAATATTATTATTAATGTTATTATTATTAATATTATAATTATTAATATTATTATTGATATTATTAATAATATTATTATTAATATTACTAATATTACTAATATTAATATTAGTAATTGTTACGCTACTATTACTAGTTATATCGCAGTTAGTAATATTTTCGACCGTCATACTAGAGATGTTTGAGTCAAAAGATAAGTGAAATTTTTCTTATTCCTGGTTGCCCATCATCCATTGAGACAATAAAACAATTGGTGAGTTTTCAAAATGTGAGAATATTCTTTCCGCACCCTCCATTAAAATGAACGTGACGGAACTAAAAATGTTCAAGCGAGACGGCTAGCACAATTCAAAGATAACAAAATAAATAAGAATAAAAACAAAATAATAATAAACAGCAATCGTTGGCGATGAATTGAGATGAGAAAGAAAAGAGAGAGTAGAAAGAGAGTAGAGAGAGAGAGAGAGAGAGAAAGAGAGAGAGAGAAAGAGAGACCAAACAAAACGTCCAGCCAACCTAAACAAAACAAACTCAAAATTAAGTTCAGAACAAAATAAAACACACAAACTACCAAACAAAACAAAAATAAAAGACAAAACAAAATGGCAGCCTATGACGTCATAAATTGACTCGATGTTCATGCTGTTGTTATAGGCCTTTAGGGTCGGCAATGCAACAAAAACGTTAAAGAGGGAGTCATAATAAAAAGAAAAAATGAATTAATACAAATACAGCGCTTGATAATAAAAATAATAATGGCTCTACTGCCTGTATCATTGCTACTGATCAACTACTAACTCTATTTGCACAGAAACTACTGGTATTACTATTGCCACTACTACTACAACAACAACAACAATTACTACTACTACTTCTACTACTACTACTTCTACTACTAATAATACTATTGCTGCTGCGCTACTATCACGGCTGAAACTATGCAACTACTGCACCTACTACTGTTCAAAAAAGATCAAAGTATAGCACAACAAGAAACACATTTTGCTTGTTAGCTACCGTGTGATATAACTATTACCGTCAATACTGATGTTGGATATATCAGCTACCGATATTTCTTAGAACGAATACTACTACAAGTAGATTGCTACTACCATATTACTTCCATCTTTACTACTGATAAAAATTCTACTGATACTATTTTTTATATATACTCATGTCATTTTTACTACATTTATAAAAAAAAAAAAAATTTTCAAGTAAAAGTGATTGCCTGATAAATAATTAATTTAATAAATATAATGATGATGAAACCCGTGTTAAGGCACTCGTTAGTTTGAATAATGACGGCAACTTATATTTGATAAAATTTGAATTCATTTCATAATGATCCAAGGGCGTTAAAATAGCCGAATCGTGAAGAAACGCCGTTAACTGCAAAAAAAAAATTCATTTCAACATTCACAGTAACAATAATAAAAAAATAGAATGAAAAGAGTAACAAATGAATGATACTATTAGGCCCAACAATGAGATTCAAAAACATTCCTGGAAAATAATAAATTTCATTTTTCAAGCCGCATTGCATTATAAATGACTTGAGACGTCTTTTTCAGCGAGAAGAGGCAATAAATTACAAGAAGACGAAGATGATTCCTGACGCAAGCGACCGAGGAAGAGAATAATTTAATACATTTCAAGTTAATGCCAAATGAATAAATAATAAGTTGAACAAGAAATGAGGCGTATTTTTTTGAGATTTTGACGTAAGAATAATATTCTTTCATCTTTGAATTATGTAACGAGATTAAAATGTCATAAAACTCAGGAATAATTTTTTTTTAGATTTTTGTTGAAGTGGCTTCATTTTTATTATTACGAACATTTTAAATTAATACACACTCTCTCTCTCTCTTTCTCTTTCTCTATCTCTCGCTCTATCTATCTATCTATCTATCTATCTATCTATCTATCTATCTATCTATCTATCTATCTATCTATCTATCTATCTATCTATCTATCTATCTATCTATCTATCTATCTATCTATCTATCTATCTATCTATCTATCTATCTATCTATCTATCTATCTATCTATCTATCTATCTATCTATCTATCTATCTATCTATCTATCTATCTATCTATCTATCTATCTATCTATCTATCTATCTATCTATCTATCTATCTATCTATCTATCTATCTATCTATCTATCTATCTATCTATCTATCTATCTATCTATCTATCTATCTATCTATCTATCTATCTATCTATCTCTCCTACACACACACTCTTACAAATTTACTATAAACAAACTCATACAAACACATGCCTACCTACCACGCACATATTTGTACTTCATAGCACACACTTTTTCGTGCACAAACACAAACATGCGTTTGTTTTTATTGAAAATTGTTGAAATTCATAAGTGTTCATGGATGAAGAAACGAAACAAACAGTTATATAAATTGTTAAAAACAAATTGAACATTTTTTAAATACGACCAAAATGTAGAAATAATTAAATTTAAAAAAAATTAAACGTTGTTTTAAACATAAACCTAAACTACATAATAGAATGGAGTAATGAAATAATTGGATGAAATCAACCGACTAGAGTCAGCGTTATTGCCGGAGGAAGCGGTGCCACCATGAAGTGCCGAACAGTTTCTCAACTCGCCAATCCACCTTCGGTCGTGGCATGTCAGGTGCGAGATGAGCTGTCGCTTGTTGAAGCTGCAGGCTATGGAGAGGCCGTCACCTTTGCGATCCAGGATGCTGAAGGAAGAGGAAGCTGGCAGGATGAGGTCTGCACATCCTATTGCTGGTGGAGGGTTGTTGTGGCAATATGATACAATGCCATTGATTACAATGAGATAAGTAGGATAATGACTGTAGATATGATGATGGTGATTACAAGTGAGATTACGAAACTTTTGTCAACACTGAATAAATAAACTTTGAAGCAATTCTTTAAGGAACACAATAAATAAGGTGCATAAAAATGTTGAAAATAATGACGACCTACGATTAAGCTTACTCTCTGTTAACTGCTTGTAATTAATAATAATCAAAACTGTTATATTTTTTAAGAATAAAGTATTGAAACAGGGATGTTGAATAATCACGTTCAATTGTTCAGTGCTATTTAATAAGGCTGTGTTGTTGTGGTGTGATGTAGTGTGGTATGATGTGTGGTGTGATTCACCAGCCACTCTCAGCTTCCACTACTAGGTAGAAGTTTTCAAATTAGACTTTATTGGGCCAGCATGATGCTAGGTGGACTGCAGGTACAACTGTGTGCACAGGTTCAAACGCGCATATCAATACACTAGCATGCGTAACGTTTAATTGTATCAGTCCGTTTCATCTGTTTCTCCTTTCCCGCACTACAAAAGATGTTTCCTCGAAGTTTTGTTTGCAAAACAAATTTATATTGAAAAAATGGATGATTTAATTGCAGATGAAGGAGAAAGTTGTTCATTGAAACAAATGATGAAAGATTTCACCGTGCAAAATAAAACTTGAGACACGCTCCGGCTATGATGATAGGAAAAATGTTCGTGTAAGAGAAAGGACGACAACGATGATGATGGTGGTGGTCAAACATGCATGTAGTGGTGATGCTAATGCTGGCGTAGATGTTGGCGATGATGCTGCGATGAAAATAGTGTTAATTTCGATGATGATGGTGATGTAAAAATGGGTTAAAAAATATCATCAAATGTATCTTGATACAAAATTTTCGTTTCAATTCTTTCACTACTCTGTACTGCCATTTTTTATGACAGTGGTATTGATGAAGGAGGCATGCTATCACCATCAGCATCATCATTATCACCATCACCACCATCATCATCATTATCACCATCATCACCACCATCATCATCATTATCACCATCGCCATCATCATTATCATCACCACCATTATTACCATCATAGTCATCATTATCATCATCATCGTCGTCGTCATTGGATCGTTATCAGGACGAGTACAACGAATTACTTTCGAATAATGTTGCATGAAATTTGTTTGCCCGGTGCGGCAGTGTAGTATTTGCATTATTTTCCTTTTTCATCAACAGTATCAAACATCATTCTCTGTAATATAATGTATCTATAATAGGTTCAAACGAATTTGTGTATGTGTGTTAATGTTTGTGTAAGTATATTGCGTGTGTGTGTGTGTGTGTGTATTTGTGTGTGAGTCTGTGTGAGTGTGTGTGTGTGTAGTTGTTTGTGGGTGTGTACTTGTAGCAGCACAATCGCTTATTTTGTAAAAATAATATATATATATACTAAGTTTGTATTGAGCATTAATTCGTTTAATATTGGAAGACATTTGTGTTTATCTCATAATGTTGAATGAAAATTTTCAATGAAACAAGTTATACAGAAGATGGATACACAACTCAAAATGTTGAAAATCAAAATTTGCAGTACCAGCTCTACCCCGATATTAATATATACATTCAAATATTAAACGTCAAAAAATATATTACATTCATCACCCCAGTAATAATAGAAAAGGAATATGAATGAACTTTGAATAAAACTATAAATAAAATGAAATTTCTCCAAAACCTACCTTCATATTTAACGAGAAACTTCAAGTTCGGTGTGTTCTGCCTGACGAAGTATATCTCAACACTGTTGCTTTGGGTGACCAGCATGTTTTGAACGCGTTCACTCTTACTGCATATCTGATGGTCCATCTGATTGGATTCCTAGAAGTTTTTTTCATTAATGCTGACGATAACAATGTGATGATGAAAAAGTTATTATGATATGATGATGTTGATACAATTATGATGATAAACATGGTGGTGATAGTTGTGGTGATAACGTAAGGTTGTTAGGTTGTGAGAGTAGTTTCAATGGTGGATATAATTGTGTTGGCCGGATGGTGACTTGTTAGAGAGTGTCTGGCTAATTAGCCGTCTATGGGTTTTTTTTAAACTGGAAACTTTTCTAATTCCGTCCATGAAAATAGTATTTAATTATTAATATAACAATATAAGCCTTATATTTGCAGTGTTCCGAATGCGTTTAAGAACACTTTGACTGGCAGTTTAAAGAGTAATTATAAGGTTAACTTGATATTTTTTATTGAAAGAAATTTTTTAGTTAAAGTTAGCAATACAATTAAGATTTCTGTTTATTTACATCATATTAAAACTACAAATATAATGTAATAACATAAGCAAACAACTAAAACGATGATATATACTGACAATTGAATAAAAATTAACTGGTAGAATTTGAAAAATATGAACGAATGAGCGAATAAATAATCAAGTAAAAGAATAAACAAATACATGAACGGCTGAATGAATGAGTTCATGAACGAATGAAAAAATTTCATTAAGGGCGGTCATCATTTGAAGAGCAGCAAACAAAATGAGCAAACCCATCCACGAGCGTGTTGGCTGGGAAGGAAAAATTTCAGGATATGACAAAAAATTATGAAAAAAAAGGAAAAATAAATAAATATATTTGTAAAAAAATTGAATATTAATATTTGAAAATAGCAAAAAGAGCAAAAATTGTTGAAAATATTTTCATTATAAATACTTCAACAATAGAAAAATAAGTTATTAATAATTTTTACAACCATTTGTCACTAGATTTTTATTCGTTCCAAAGACAGTATTCAAACATTTCAACAAAAATGCGTGTTGGAACATTAACAACGAAAGATGACAAAAGCAAAAAAACAACGATTACAACAATAACAACAGTAACAACAGTAACAATATCATATGTGAATGTTATAAAGCGCCGGCAAGTAAATTTTTTCCCATTGAAAACAATAGAATCGCGCCTAATATCAAATGCATTAGCAAATAGCATCGTACACAGCGTTGAATTTCATTGAAATTAGCGATTGTTTCATTTTCTTCATACAACTACTACCGCTACTGCTACTACTACTATTACCTTTACTACTACTACCATTATACAATTATTACTTTTACTGTTGCAGCAACAACTACTACTACTACTGATACTTCTACTACCGCAATTTTGACTACAGCTGTTGTTGCTGCTATGAATACTTCTGCTACATTTTCCGCTATTATTAATAATAGTAGCAGTACTAACTAATACTATCATTAATAATAACATAATAATATCATTAGGAAAAATTTCATAAGAAAGAATAATTTTTAATAATACAGTATTTGTGCTGCAACAATTGCATTAAGAACTCTGATGAAATCATTTATGACGTCATAACGATAGCGCTACGATGTTACGCTCATAATGAGATGATGATGAAGTCATACCCCTACAAGACGATGACGAAAAAATGATTATCTCTTTGATGATTAAATATGATGCGATGTTTCGAACTTTGATCTCAAAACGAAGCAGACATCCACAATGACGGATGATTTTGATAATTCGATTTTCAATTTATGAACTTTTTCATTCTAGAATTTCCCATCCGTCCATTTAATTTAATTTAATATAATTTAATTTAATTTTTTTCAATTTAATTTTACTTTTATAAATTATTGGAAACATTTGTTGTGTAGCGTGTGAATTAGTACTAATAGGATCGCACAGGTAGCATTTAAGTAACTCTACACCGAATTATAATAACATGAATGTTTCTGTAGTAACAGTTGAAATTGTTATGAATAAAAACTGTTTGATCTGAAAAATATAATTCAATCGGTGATAATTATAACGATATTATTATCAATATTATTATTATCATTAGCTGCGTTTGAAATTATGAGCGAAAAAAGATGTGATCCAAAAAAATATTTAAATTATCAACATTTATAATAATATTAACATATACTATCGTTATTATTATTAGTATTATTAATATTTTTATTATTATTATCATCATCATCATCGTCGTTATGACCATCATCACGCTTATCATCTTGGCGGAAAACTCGATGAGTAAACTAAGTGAGTAAGTTAAGATGGCTGCCGTCCATTATTATTTGTTCTGCTTCCTTCATAGTCCGCTTATTTACTTTAACGACATTGTGTACACGCATACACACACACACATACACACACACATACATACATACACAGACACACACACACACAAACGTATATAAATATAGATACACATTTATGTGTGTGTGTGTGTGTAAGTTTGTGCGTGCGTAAATGTATGTGTGTCTATTTGTGTGTGTGTGTGTGTGTGTGGTGTGGGTGTGTGTGGTGTGTGTGTGTGTGTATGTGTGTTGAAGGTAGTGTTTGAGTGTTTGACTATGGTACTATGCTTGTGATCAATAGAACATATACTAGTACATGACAGAGTGCGCAGAGCAGTATTGAGTTGGGCTGGGCAATGAAGTAATTAGACTTTACAACTGAGAGGAGGTATGAATATTAACGTAATATCATTTCGTTTAATACGTCAGAATGAGGTCGTTATGACGTCATTATGACCTCATTACCACATCACTTGCTTCAAGGAATATAAAGCGTTTGATGGCTGTTTTGCTTTATATAAATAAATAAGGTCTGCAATGAAATGAGATGTTTGCTGACTGCTTGCTGCTGACTGGCACATATTCGAATGGAACTATTTATTGATGGCATGGTGAACGTTGGGCGCCGATGAAGCTATGCATTTTCATTTTAATCATAAATTCGTCCGGCAAGATTAATTAGGATTTGAATTGGGACATAAAATCACATCAATCGAACATGCTCGCTTCAAATACAAAATGAAAAACAATTGAAAATCACAAAAACGTAAGATGGAAAACAAAAAGAACAGGCAGTAGGAACCAACGTAAAATCAAACAGCAACAAATTTGACATCAGTAAGAGGCGAGGCAAACAAACTCATATGAATGCGTAAAGTCAGCAGCATCGAGCAGAACAATGCCACTTCAACAAACTATCTCTCAACTCATTCACAATATCAACGACTGATAACAACAAAATCAGACGTTACTTTCTTCGTTACTTACGTTTAAAAGCAGATACAGAGATAGACAGAAAGAGAGAGGATGAAAGAGAGAGAGAAAGAGGAAAAGAGATGTAGAGGAAGACACGTAACATGAGGAGGAAAGCATTGCACAAGCTCAGCACATACATCCAGCCAGTTCCTCAGGGGCATGAACTATTTATGAGGTGCACACAATCAACACATGTGCGCACGCTGCTTCTATCTTTTTCTATCTCTGTCTATCTCTCTCTGTCTCTCTTCATCTTTCTCTGTTTTTGTCCATCTATCTTTGTTTTTGTGCCTGTCTGTCTGTTTATCTTTCTCTATGCTTGTTTCTCTTTGTCCTGTTTGTGTGTTTTTGACCATTCTTATTCATTTTTTTCTGTCCTTCTAATTGAAATGTCACGTGTTCGTAATTGTAGGTGGTGTACATTTTCATAATTGTATACAAATTTTTATGTGTTGTTGTTTGAAATTTGTATGTGCATATTTAAGCGTGTTGGTATGTGCGTACGTATTTTTGATCACAGGTATGTTTGTAATTGTCTGCAATAAATAGACGAACATGTGTTCCCGTAAGAACAAATGCCTGGGATGAGATTTCAAATATTTGAATTATTTAATAAGAAGGAAGGATGCCAGTAGTTTGCAGTTGTGAATGTTTTCAGAATACAACGTGTTTGACCGAACGAATGTTACATTTTTATTTGTCTATATGTTTTTGCTCTTGCATGCATGTTTTTGTATTTTCATGTTTGTATATATTAACGTCTGATTAGGCGTTTGTATTTTAAACTTGTGATTTCATACAAAAAAAAAGGTTGACCATTCTGTCCATGAGTATGAGAAAAAAATATGGACGTGGAGGGCGTGAATGTGTGAGTTTGAAATTGAATTGTTTGTCAGTAAATAAGGCAACCTCCCGTGTTTAAAGAGAAAAATATCAATCAATGTATAGCAACTATACGTACAAACCAATGAAGATGAAGATATGCAAACATGCAAACATGAACATGGATAGGGACACAGACAAATATCGAAATATAATTGTATGAAAAATGAAAAAAACATTTGCAAACAAATAAACACATAATGCATACAAATATAATCATTCGAGGGTGCAGAACGTCTATATACAAACATATTTATACAATGCCACATACATATATATATATATATATTTATTGTATATATATCTATATATTATATATATATATGTGTGTGTGTGTTGTGTATATATGTGTGTATATATACGCGTT